AGTTTAGATGGTATTTTTTCTTTTCATCTTGCCTCTGTATAATGCATATTAAAGTTCATAAGTGCAGCACTGTTTTGTTTACAGCGGAAACCAAGGAAACGCTTTAAGCACCACCTGCTGGTAGAGAGTGAATCTGCTTCTCATTCAGCTCGTCTGCTGTTTGTTTCATGCAGATATTTTTTTATGTATAAAAGCCTTATTTTGTTTATATGAAGAAATTTCTTTTATTTGTGTTATTTATTTGATTTGGGGCTTTTTTTTTAAATGTTAATTTAGTTTTGTTATTTACATTTACATTATATTTACATTTTGTTACTTAGCAGACGCTTTTATCCAAAGCGACTGACAAATGAGGACAATAGAAGCAATCAAAACCAACAAAAGAGCAATAATATTAAAGTGCTATATATTATAGTGTTATATTTGAAAATGTGCAGCATTTTGTCCAAGCAATAATAAAAGGACACATTTAATTTATTTGTCTTAAATCTCATTTTGTTAAATAAAATCGTGAATCGAATCGAATCGTGAGTTGAGTGAATCGTTACATCCCTAGTAAGAATACACTAAATAATTAAACGCAAAACAATATTTAATATTAGGGATGTAATGATTCACTCAACTCACGATTCGATTCACGATTCGATTTTCTCACTTAACAAAATAACAAAATGAGATTGAAGACATTATACAGTAAATGAAAAGGTGTCATCTTATTAGGCTATTGCTGCACGTTTCTTTGTGAAATTGAAATATAACAAAACTAAATTGAAATTTTAAAACAAACGCCAAATCAAACAAGTTACAAATAAAAGAAATCTCTTAATATGAACAAAATAAGGCTTTGTCTGTGCTCTTTCTATTTAAAATTAGAGGCAACCACTGCATTTTAATCATGATCCAAACAAAGATGCAGCATACATTCAGCATGAGCTGTTTTTAATCTAAATTAGACTGTATAATTTCGAAATTTGAAGCAAAAACAGAATAGTCTGACTTTAGTTTTGTGAAACTATATAAAACATAAAACATAAAACAGTAGGGACATAAAACATCTGAACGAAACCGCAGACGAGCTGAATGAGAGACAGCAGGTGGCGCTTAAGAACAGCAGTGATATAGTGTTTCCTGGGTTGCCGCTGTAAACAAAGCAGAGCTGCGTTTATGAATGCTGCTTTAATATGCATTGTTCAGAGGCAAGATGAAAAGAAAATACCACGTAAACTTTTCTAAAGATAGTCAGTTCCCCTCAGAGATACATTCATATAAACTCCTACTCCAATTGTATTGCGATTTGTTTGGCATCTCAACCGATATGAATAGTCACATATTTGAATCCATTTTCAACCGGCTCGCAGTTAATCGTTACATCCCTACTTAATATACTTTAATATTATTAAATGTAAAGATTATTATTATTATTATTATTATTATTATTATTATTAACCAGAATAATGTAATAATAATAATGCGTAATACGCTATTACTATCGTTGTTGTTGTGTTTATCAACAGAAATATTACATTTAATAAGTGTTATTAAGAATAATACACCTTTTATATTGTTATTTCAAAATAAATCAAAATGTAACTTTTTTTTTTTTTTTTGACTGATTTTTATTTACAGAAATTATTAATGGCACTTGTTAATCCATGTCTAGCTATATCTAGGGACTAAAATATCATAGAAACTTAAAAGGTGGCTCGTTTTACCTCAACCACCAAAAACCTGGATACTTGTGTTGGCAGTTCTGTCCACTAACACCCATGTGAAGCCTACAGTAGAGCTCACAATTTCAACTAGTAGTATTTATACATGTTGAGGATGTGTGTTTTTCTACATGCTTTGGAGTAAAATGTAATTTTTTTTTTTTTTTTGACTGATTTTTATTTACAGAAATTATTAATGGCACTTGTTAATCCATGTCTAGCTATATCTAGGGACTAAAATATCATAGAAACTTAAAAGGTGGCTCGTTTTACCTCAACCACCAAAAACCTGGATACTTGTGTTGGCAGTTCTGTCCACTAACACCCATGTGAAGCCTACAGTAGAGCTCACAATTTCAACTAGTAGTATTTATACATGTTGAGGATGTGTGTTTTTCTACATGCTTTGGAGTCTTCTGTCCAAATAAAGGACGGATTAGCAGCCCGTGCCAAAAATCAGTTTATATGTTGTTTGGCTGCGTTGCAGATGGTAGCTTAACTGTAACAGGCTTTCAGTTAAATCAGATATTCTCAAATGAAAAACATACTAAGGATACCACTTGATTTTTCATCTCATTTGTTGGTGCATGAGGTATTCTTGCAGTAAACCCATATTTTTTACCACTTAACCAATGAATACATCATTAAAATGTGTCATGGAGGTGTATTTAGTAGTTGAATGACAAAGCTATACAGCACCGGTTGAGATCTTGGGTATTGGTGTTGCATTGCTCCATTGAGTGGCTCTGTGTTTCATCACGTATCATTGGAAAACAATGTGCCATTACATCCATTCCCTAATGCATGTGTTATTTCTTCCAGGCACGTATCAAATTCCCTGTCGACTACCCGTACTCTCCTCCTGCCTTCAGATTCCTTACCAAGATGTGGCATCCCAACATCTATGAGGTTAGCCTACACAAACCCAATCACACTGCAGCGTGATCAGCATTTGTTTGGATAAAATAACACATTTAAATTTATTTAATTTAATTACACTATAATAACTTAAAAATATATAAATAATAATAATGTCTTCATTATGAATGTTACCTTTTTTATTGTAAATAAATTAATGTAGGACATTAATTTACCAAATTTGGCAATCATAATTGCTTTGACACTAGCAAATATCTGTTACCTTAAAAGAGAAACTGAATGTAGTAAATTGAATGCACTATATTTTGAATATGGATATATTAATATACAGATTTCTACGTTGAAGAGAAGGCATTTTAAATCTAAAAACAGTTAAGACCTATTTTTAGGGTGTCAAGTTTTGTTTATATAGTGCTTTTATATAATAAAAATTGCTTCAAAGCTTTTCAATAAAAATCAGTTCAATAATAATAGTAATAATGTAAATAAATGTAAATACATTTGAAATTTACTGTTTTAATGCTGATAATCTAACTTTTTTAATATAAGTGAGGAAAAAATTTACTATTGGTCTTTAGACTTTTAAACACGAATGTTAATGTTATTATAATAACAAATATTGAACTTATATGTAATTTTAAAAGCCAATTTCAGTTATTTACACTGAATCATGTTAACTGGGGGGGTGGGGGGGGGGGGTCGTCAATAGATTATTCACAATTAGGGATGGGTACCGAAACCCGGTATTAAGTGGGCCCCGGGGCTAAATTATGAAAGACCGAAGTATCAATAAGCTCTGACGTTAGCGGTTCTGCTGTCGGTACTGGAGAGATTAAGAAAACACAGACAGCCTACATTTGTTATTGCTATATAGACATTATCTTGCAAAGTCTGTCTCACCAGAGTCGTCAGCTGTTTTTATAAATGCAATAATATTCAGACATTTGTCTGTGATGCATTTTTGCTATTCGCAATTCAGAAGCGAGATCGCACTCACGTGGAGGAGCTACAGCACGTGCAACATGAAAGCCCCGTTTAATTATGATAGAGGAGAGAACTAAACATTCAAACATCTGCTTACACTTTAGTCCTGTGGCTGTGATATTAAGATTTTTATTGCGATTTTGGCTTCTAATGATTATAAAAAAAGAAGACTATTAAAAACGTGCTGCATTTCGTCTAGCGCAACTTCCTTCCCTTAACAGCGGTGCGCATTCGTTCCTCCCTAAAACCCAAACTTAACGTCTGAATTAGCACAATCGGTGATTGTTGTAAAATGCCGTCTTTACTGTGGCTAAATTGCGGGACATGTTTGATGAAACGTTGAAAGCACAATAATCCGTGCAAGAGATGCTGTTCCCAAGACTGAAATGTATGCGCACACTGCGCACGCTCCAATATGCACCGCAACTAGACAAGCAAAATATACTTTGGGCTTCGGGTGCACATCCAAGCGACCAAATACACACAAAATATGTCAAAATGGCCAGCTTGGAGAGTATTCATTAAACATTCTATTTTGTCTTAAGTGGACGTGAACAGTTGGGAGAAAATCTGATGTGCGTCAATATATTGTCTTAGTGACAGCAGTGACTGGCGCTTGGGCCATCAGTGTTAATCAAACAACAAAATGCAAAAAGAAAATCACTCACAGCTCTCAATCTGAATAACTTTAGCTTTAAAACTATGCAGTGTTCATTTACATTTGATTACTTTATTAGATTTCTTTTGTTGGCCATATTACTTACCTGAACAGTAGGGGTGTGAACCTATACTGGTCTCACGGTTCGTTTCGGTTACGATTATCATGTCATCGATTCGGTTCAATTCGATATCACGATGCATCACAATGCATTGACAATGCACTGCATCCTCAATTTTACTTCACATTTATACAATTTTGTCAATAAATACAAGCAGTCAGATATATGAACTGTACCTGACCTGGTTTCTTAAGTTAGTGGTATTACCCCCTGCTAGGGATGTGACATTTGAACCGAGGCATCGGAGCTTGTGTCGAGAATAAATGGGCGTGCTAGATGAAGCCTCGATTTGAAGCGTATGTTGTGTTGTTAATTGTCATAGAAATCACGTGACCAATGACAAATGAAGCTTCACTTTCTGTCCAGTCACGTGCGCGATTCACTTTGCGTGTCGAAATGTTCGATCCCCCAGATCTTACTTTACGAATAAGTTTTAATTCTGACTTATTCAGTTACATTTTAGATACCCAGTCATATAAGTAATATGAAGAATACAAATTATTTCAGAAAAATTCAATATTTGTCATATGCAATTCATATGAGTACATTATTCTTCTATTACATCATATTGATATTCGTACTTGTATTAAATTGCACAGTTTAATGGGTAAATGAATTTGTCAGAAACTCAACAAACACACACACTGCTAGGCTTTTATTTGTGCACGTAACTTGAATCGATCTGTGGAATATGTGGTAGATGCCTCGTCCTAC